CTGGCCCGGCTAGGTCCAGTTTCTTATTGGCTAGCTCTTACATATTGTTCTAACCCATTTCTAATATTCTGTGTAGCCCATGAGCTGGCTTACCAGAGAGGATCTTAACCTGCGTCTGTCTGGAGTGGGAGCATCATGGCGACTCACTCACTCAGCTTCTTTTTCCCAGCATTCTCCTCTGTCTACTCCGCCTACCTAATTTTCTGTCCTATGAGGGCCGAGGCAGTTTCTTTATTAATAAAAAATCACTCCCACATCAGTTAGGAACACTTTCTTGATTGATAATTGATGTGGAAGAGCCTAGGGCCCAGCCCACTGTGGGCAAATAAATGGTCCTGGGTAGTATAAGAAAGCAAACTGGACCAGTCATGGGAGCAAGCTAGTAAGCACTGTTTCTCTGTGTTTCTGCTTGAGTTCCTGTCCTTACTTCCCTCAGGGCTGCATCGGAACATGGAAGTTAAACAAACCAAACAGAACAAAACAACAACAAAACCCTTTCCTCCCCAAGTTGCTTTTGAGCATGGTGTTTACCGCAGCAACAGAAAGAGAACTAGGACACACCCGGACAGTTTCTTCCTTTTAGCACCTGCCCCCGCCCCTTCTGTCCCATGGTGGCGTCTGACCCAGTACTTGCCGTAGACCACTGAGATGAACCTCCGTGTCTTTGACTTCAGGCTGACCCAGGCTGGGAAGTGTTGTAAGATGAACCACTCCTCACCCCTTATAGGACTGGAGCCCAGGCCCAGGAGTAGATGTGTGCCCTGTGGATACAATGTACCTCCTTCTCCATCGCACAGTGCCACAAGCCCCCTAGGCCGCACTTGCATGTGGAAAGCTGTCTTTGATGAGCGGTGAGGGACCAGCCGGTCTACATGAGACAAGAAATGGTGTGTAGAAGTCTCCAGGTGGTAGCATCCATCGTGGAAATGTAACAGGAAACCACATTCCTCTAGGCAAGGGACTGCTGCGTCAACCCAGATTCGGCCCACAGTGTGGTCAGCTCGGGCATAGCTGCGGTAGGTGGGGCTGTAGAGGATCACATGGACATGCAGGGCTGGTCTAGGGGTCCACATATGGTAAGCTGAGAGGACCCTGGAGCTGCAGAACACAACCTCACCATCAGACTCCAGATAACGACCAGAGATGATGCACTGGAGGGTCCACTTGCCATTGCGGTGGAAACGGAGCAGGAAGCATCCATGGTGGCTAGTCCTTGGCCTCCCATAGCACACAGTACCATCAGCTTCACACAGCAGGTAGAGGCCCTGCAAGCTCTTTAGTCGTATCACGGCCTGCGCATCATGTTCATTGCTCACCAGGAGCTCCCAGGTCTGGAGATGTCGGGAGGATGAAGGAAGTGTGTCAACAACTGGCAACCACAACTCTTGGTGCCATCAGCACCTCCAACATGACTAGTCACCTTCCTTCCCATACCTGTCTTGGCATCTCCTTGCTATGAACACTCTACTTGCTCAATTAACAATGAAAAGGATTTCTGAGCTGGGCAGAGGGCAGTGGTGCCTGTCTTTAATTCCAGCACTCAGGAGGCAGAGGGAGACAGAGCTTGGTGAGTTCAAGGTCAGCTTGGTCTGCAGAGCCAGTTCTACACCAGCCTGGGATACATAGCGGGAGTCTTTTGCAAAACAAAATAAAAAATACAACAACAAGACAGTGTTCTGGGTTGTCCACCTCCAGAGTCCCAGGACTTCTTAAGACCCAGTGGAGACCAGAGAGATAGCTCAGTGTAAAAGCACTTGCCTTGAAAACTTGACAGCCTGAGGTCTAGCTCACATTTAAAAATCCACATTTAAAAAGCTAGATGCAGTCTGATGAGATGGCTCAGTGGGTAAAGGCACTTGTCACCAAGCCTGATGATCCCCGGGTCCCACTTGGTGGAAGAAGAGAACGAACTAACCCCTGTAAGTTGTCCTCCGACCTCCGCATGTGTGCCATGGTACAGATATGTGGATGAACACACACACACACACACACACACATGAATATATAAAATGTAATAACTAAAAATAGCTAGACACAGTGGCAAGCATCTATAAATCCCGGCACTCCTAAGACAAAATTGGAGATAGAGACAGGAGACTCTCCTGGAAGCTCATGGGCCAGACGGCCTAGAGCTCACAGTGTAGGCAAAACCAACTTAACTTTCCACTTTAAGGTGGAAAGTTGTCCTGACCTCACGTATTGTGCTTGTATACATAAACACACACACACACATGCAGAACCCATGGGATATTCTATATTCACACCTTGGAAAAGCAAAACCTTCCTCTCTTTCCCCTGCTCCATCCTTCAATTTTGCTTTGTTTTATTTCTTTCACCTTGCTACAGACCCTGGATGGCACAGTACTCAGAACCTCCACCATCTCTCCAACAGAAGTGCAAGCAAACATCCTGACTCTGGGTACAGAAGTTGAGGTACAATAGTTAGGTGCACTGCGAGAAATTTGGTCATAAAGGAGAAGACTTTGCTCCTATTTTATCTCTAAAACAGAGTCCAAGTCAGCAAGCACTTTAAAATATTGCATTACTTTTTCCAGAACAGAAACATGGATCTTGTACTATAGTCCAGCTTCCTCCGGATGCCTGGTTCTGCTTTCCAGCCTGGACTCCCCTCCTCTCTACTTTGTGCTGGGTTGGAGGGTAGGAAACACTGGAGGCGAAGCAGCTAGGCCAGCGCTGACACTTCAGATCTTTGGGAAACGGTTTTGGAAGGCGGAACAATGACGATCCATGAACAAAAGCCTGGTGTAGAAGTGTTTCGGCTTGCAACAGCAGAGACTATGCCGGTGATTAGGACGGGAATGCAACATGTAACACACACACACACACACACACACACACACACACACACACACACACACACAGCACTAAAAAAATTGGTTCTAGTCCAGGTTCGCCTTGTTACCTGTCTCCTGCCCAAACTCTTTGCAGTAGCTGTGACTGTACTGTTAAATGCTCCAAAGGTGAGGTAGGTTCCTGCCCAGCTGATGAGCCCAACCCTTAGGTCCTCGGCCTTTGGATGTCTGTGTATCCATTCCACCTCAGCCATGGGGCCAGTGCCACAGGTGATAACTCTGTCCGGCCCAGGCTTCCCCCCAGTGGTGAGGTCCCACAGGCCATATGGCCCGGAATAAGGCCCGTAGTACCCACCAGAAGCCGTTCCCAGAGGAAACTTCCCAGGCAGAGGTCTGGCCTAGGGCCCAGCACCTCTGTGACCCGGGAGCATTGTGACTTTAAAGGCTGCCTTTTATCCCACCACAGTGGGGAAAGGGCACTGGCCTAGTAGTATCAATCCACAGGCCAAAGGAAGTAGGTCCAGAGCTTTCTGTATGTTTTCCTGACCAACTCCAAGCATTGAGGTAGGTTTAGACTGGGAGTCAGTACTGCAACCTGTGACTGCAGACCCGTCCCTACCTTTCTTAGTAACAAGATAGGAATCAATCTATTTGCTTCCTAACAAGGGGGTTCTACTTGGCTCTCTGTGGCTCAAGTTTCCTTCCTTTCTTTCAAGTCCAAGTAAGCCAAGAAAAATCTATTGGTCTTTTAGGGATCTTGGGAGGACAAGGTCAAGCTGTTTTGGAAAGTACTTCGCAGTGAAGGTGCGGAAAATGGAAACATAACCACCGAGGATGGAACCACTCTTTTGACTTTAAAAGCCTCGGAAGGAATGGCCTAGGTAAGGGCACTCCAGCACTGTGCTTTGCCAAGCCTGGCTGTGTTGCAGGTGAACGGGCTGGGCAGAAAGCCAGATCTGCCGGAAAGGATACCGGCCCCACCCACCAGAAGGTTCTGCTGGATCACTTCCTGCAAAGCTCAAGGAGAAAACCTCTGTCAAGAGCCTAGACAAACAGCAAACATGAGAGGAGGCACGTACAAAGAAATGGTGGGACAACAGGTCTCATTTAAGCTTCATTGGGCTCCACAGGGAAAGGGGCAATCAACCTTGCTTGGAGAATAGCCCAGAGCCCTCGTGTTTTCCATGGCCTTCCTGATTCTGGGTAAATGGGGTCTTCCTAGGTACAGCATCCCGGAGGTCCTCAGCAAAGGCTCACAAAGGTGTTCTGTAAAATGAGGCTAACAGACACCGCCCCATGCTGGAGTCATCTGGGTAGTTTTAAACACGCATGCTGTTGGGGATGGCTTCAGACCACGTCGATCATTTTTCTTAAGAGTGTCTTGGGACCTATCTTTTAAATGTCCATTTCTCCCCTGTGTACAAAGCTACCATGAAGAACTGCTAAGTAGCTAGGTAAAAGGTAGGAAAAAGATTCTGTGGTTTATGGAATGAGAAAGGTGGATTTCAGTCCTTAGAAATGAGAAAGAAATGGCTTTCTTCCCCTGAAAACACCACAGGGAGATACTGAGGAAGAAAAGGGCTTACGTGTGTGTTGACCTCACAACTTCAGCTGCTTTGAGCCTCTCCCATATTGTCTTTTTGTACCCAGAGTAACTCAGCTTCTCAACTTCCAGGCTACAGACAACACCGGGTACAAACCACATCAAATTTATTACTCAATATCCAGTTCCACATCATAGCACCACCCGGAGCCCTCACGTTCCTCCCCCAAACCTGGCCCCAAGGGTACACCCGAAACAGAAAAAAAAAATGAAATTAAATCCAGATCCCTGCTCCTCCCCTGTTGGAGGGGGCCATGGCCAGGAAGCCCTTCCACAGGTCCCAGCAGGCAGGAGAGCAGAGCCCTCTGCACCCAGAGAGCAAGGCTCCAGGCTCCAGCGACAAGAGAGAACATGCAGGCAGGAGCAGGAGCAGAGACCTGTCTGTGGGGAGGAAGAGTGGGAAGGGAGGGCACTGCCTGAGGAGTCCGGGAGTCTGGTCATCCCGGGATGCACGCGGGAGCTTCCGGGCAGCAGGGGCCTGCCCCTGGCTGGCTAACGCTTTGACAGCTCATGGGACAGCCAGTCCAGCCCATCATACAGGCCTGTGCCTTGGGTAGCGCAGGTGGCCTGGACGTACCACTGTAGGAAGAGAGAGAAGTAGATCAGACCAGGGTAGACGAGGATACCTTTATACCCCTGTCAGGCCTGGGGCTCCGGAGGAAAGGCTGGACCCAGGGCAAAGGAGACCAGATCCTTACCGTGCGGCTACGCAAGTGCTGGAGCCCCAGCTTGTCAGTCAGCTCACTCACAGGCATGGCGTTGGGCATGTCCTGCTTGTTGGCAAACACCAGCAGCACTGCATCCCGAAGCTCATCCTCCTGCAGCTGAGAGGGGAGAACAGGGTGGGACCTAGGGCTGCAAGGAGTCCCAGGTTCCCTGCTCACTACATTGTAGGGGAGTTCTGGTTTCTAACTGCCAACTTCTTTGTAGGAAAAACACAGTGTACTGTGCAGTTTAGTGTTGAACACAGAACAGTTATGAGTACAAAACCCCTAAATTTTACCTCCAGAAGCCTTCTAATTTAAGAACCTGCTCTTAGTGAAAACAACAAAAATCCCAAACACTAAAAAAGCAAAACAAAATAACAACAACAAAAATGTGAGAGGCTGTTTCTCTTTCCAATGGACGACCCCTCCCTCTCCTCAGCTCCTTAGACTCAGGTACACAAGTATTTAAAAGAAAAAGACCTGTTCAAACCGGGTGAGAAGCAACTTAACCAGAGACACAAAACCTCATTTTCTCCGCCCACAGAGAACGCTGTCCCCAAGCCAAGGGCCCTGTTCCCAGATCCGGGTGCTCACCATCTTCTGGAGTTCATCAGCTGACTCCTGGACCCGCTCTCGGTCATTACTGTCTACCACGAAGATGAGGCCCTAGGTGGGCGGAAGAAAGGAAGCAGGAGAGATCACTCCCACCTACGCCCTGCCCTAATCTGGCCTCTTCGAACTTCTCCCATCTTTAGTTGTATCCGTCTTCGTCTTCTAGTGAGTTCCTATTAACGGTATGCAGAGACCACTGCGAAGCGAGACAGCTAAAAGATGTTCTGTTTGAGGGCTACATTAGACAGTGTGGTCCTAGAACCCTGCTTCCCAGAATAGGACGACCTTAAGTTCTTAAGGAGGACTAAGAGAGAGGGGTGAGGGCCCAGAACTGAGCCAACAGTTCAGTCCTGAGCCATACTGCCCTCTTCTGAGGGTTGTCCCTCCACCCTCCGCCTCCACTCCACCTGAGTGTTCTGGAAGTAGTGCCGCCACAGAGGCCGAATCTTGTCCTGGCCTCCAACATCCCAGACTGTGAAACAGATGTTCTTATATTCCACTGTTTCCACATTGAAGCCTGCAGATAATTTTTTTGAGAGAGAGAGAGAGAGAGAAAAAAAAAGTTCTGAAAGGAACTCACTAAAATCACTTGGTTCAGCCAGGCTGTGGTGGCACATGCCTTAAATTCCAGCACTCCGGAGGCTGAGGCAGGTGGATCTCTGTGAGTTTGGGGCCAGCCTGGTTTACAGAACGAGTTCCAGGACAGCCACAGAAAAACAAAACAAAACAAAACCACTAGGATCTTTACAGGCACACAAACCCAGAACGCAATGATCAAGACCAATCAAGACCAGAAGGACCGGAGGTCAACAGATATGCTAGGCTCACGGTCCACACCTCAGGCACCAGCAGGCACACAGAGATACCGTGACCCACTTCTCAAGTAGCCATATCTGGTGTCAGGGTCAGGTACAGATAAGGGCCTCAGTAGAACTGGGAGCAGACCCCGGGAAGGCCCGACGTGCCACTCCCGCAAACCCTCGCTTCATTCTCGGACTCACCTATGGTGGGGATGGTGGTGACAATCTCTCCCAACTTCAGTTTGTACAGGATGGTAGTCTTGCCAGCCGCATCCAAGCCAACTGCAACGGAGAGGGGCACAGAATGGAGACGGGAGCTAGGGAGCCCTCTAGAGACCAGGGAAAGGGAAAGGACTGCCCAGCTGATGGTGATGGGGGCGGAGAGCGGGAGAGCCTCCAGGTGCGAGCTGTTCTCCACCTTCCGGGCCTTAAGGGCAGTCTGGGTGGTGAGTGCCAACTCCTGTCCTTCAAGTGGCCGAGGAGAGAGAGGCGCTCGGGAGGTGGGGGGCCCGGGAGGAAGGCCGCGTTCCTTTGAAAAGTCGTTTCCAAGGGCGGAATCCTCCTCCCTTCTTAGCAGCCGGGCTGGGGCGGAGGAAGCGTCACCCCACCCAGGCCCCAGCTCCGGGTTTCAGGCCCGGGGCCGACACCGCAGATCCCGGCCTGCAGAGGAGCGCATCCCCCGAGACTCTGGCAGTGGGGTGTCTCGGGGTCAGGGTACCAGGTGAGCCGGGGCTGGAGGGACGCGGGGGTGGGAGGGCTGCGGCGGGGCCGGCGCCCCATCCGGGCCGCGCGCTCGATCTGCCTCACCCATGAGGATCCGCATCTGCTTCTTCCCGAAGATCCGCGAAAAGAGCGCGGACACCGTGAGGCCCATGGTGGGGCCCGGGGCGGGGGCGCGGGCAGGGACGCGGGGTGAGGGCTGGAACCGGCCGGCCGCGGGGGGGATGGGGCGCAACAGCAGAAGGAGGAGGCGCCGCCGCCGCCGCCTCCGCGCGTCCGGGCCCGCCCGACGTCACGTGGCCCCGCCCCCCGGGTCCGCCGCGGCCCCGCCCCCAGGCGCGTTTGCGGAAGAACTGAAGTCCAGCGAGGCCTGGCATCCTTGCCGCTAGCCCGAGGGACTGGAAAGGGAATCCTTCTGAGTCTCCAAAGACTGCAGGAGCTTGCTTTATTCTTCAGGCATAGACTTCTATTCCTAAGAAGGCTTTGACAGGGTCGAAAAATATATTTAAAAGGTTCTCAAAGTAGCTTATTCTTTTTTGTTTTGAGACACTATGCCCACGATGTCACTATGTAGCCTTGAACTTGCCATGTAGACCAGGCTAATCTCGAACTCACAGAGCTGCCTTGGCCTCCCGAGTAGATTCTTAGAACAGAAACACTTTCTTCTTGCCTGTTGTTGCTCCAATTTCACTATTATCTCACTTCTTCCCCCTTGGTACCTTCACAGTGTCACAGGAGCCGTTTTTCTGTTTTTGTTTTTAGTCCCTCCCCACCTTTATTTCGAGTTAGTATGTGGGGGTGTAGAGTCAGAGGAGAACCTGTGGGGATATGTTCTCTCCTTCGACCACGTGGGTCCTGGTAGACTCAGGTCTAGGCATTAGGCTTGGTGGAAAGTACTATCCTACAGGCCCCACAAGAGTCTCGATGGTGTCCCCTTGAGATGAATATATTTTAATGTTTTGTCACCCAAGATGGAAATCTAGATGCCTTTAAGTTGGGTCCCACCCTTTGTTCCGGCCTCTTCAGTGTCCGCCCCCCTCCCACACCCTAAGCTATTGTTAAGGAATGATTCATGGTAAACTTTTCCACTTTCCTTGATGCTGGTTTCCCACATCTGAATTTACTTCACAGTCTTTATTCATTCTTCAAACATATTTTTCCTAAGAGTCTCTGTCCTTCCTCTAGACAGGCAACCTATCTCTTTTATACCACTACAACCATACATACTACTACCCATACATACATACACACAACCCATACACACTAGTGTGAGGACAAGATTTACTTGTTTGCATGTCTGGTTCAGGGTCACGTTTCTTCAGGGTGCTATCTGGCATAGCACTTTATACACTGGTAAGTGGACTGAGATAAGATTCCTAAACTTAGTAGCCGAGTGACATTGGACAAGTCACCTCTCCGTACTGTATGTTCCCACAACTGTAAATTGGTGCTAATGAGATCCTCTAAACAGAATTTTGCAGAGACAAAATAGCAAGAACTCTTGTGAGACCCCAGCATATACGGGTATTTAAGGTGGACCTTATAGCTTAATAGTGCCCCTCTAAAAGCAGAACTAAGGAAGAGAACTATTATGCTTTATGCTAACTAGGTGCTGCTGGCCTTGTTTTCCTAGTATGAGTCCTGTTGCGTTTTAGGGACATGTTAGACATTGCCCCAAATAGTTAGGGATTTGGGGGCAAATGCAGTGCGACGTCGCCCCCTGTCGCTCGCTGATGGTAGTTTGAGGGCAAAGTTAGGCATCTTCTCCAAACCGCTGCTCAGGTGTTCTGGACTTTGCTTTTCCCAACTCTCCGGGCTGGTTCCTCCCTCTCCAGGCCATCAGCACACCCGGTCTGCGAAAGCCCCGCCCACCTCACGCAAACCGGAGGCGGGGTCTGCGGCGTTTGGCCGCCGTCACTTCCAGTGGACCCGGAAGCGCTGCTGTGGGCAGCCGGAGTTGTTAGGAAATCGTGATGGATCCGAGCTTAGTGTAAACCCTGGGCCGATCCGGGGCCGATCCTGGGCCCCCCCGGGGGGGGGGGGAGGCGGG